TCCTCTTAATTTCTTCCTTCCATCTTCTTCTACATGAGTTGATATATTTTCATATTCCCTATGATATTGAGTTTCATTCTTCCTTTCCCTCTTGTGGATTGTTTCTCTTCCCTGTTGCTCATCTCCATTGGTTGGGGATGTAGGTCAATTTGTAAGAGGCTTCACGACTATGGTCTCGAGGCAAATGATCTTATTCCCTTCACACTCTGGCACCTAATTTAGTCCAATGTGCTTTTGTTCACTCTTTTCCTTGTTTCCAGATTTGAATAATCACCTTTCATTTCAACTATTAGATGGTAGTGGCTTCTCTCATTCACCAAGGGGACATTTTTTTTTTGTTTCTTTTGTGGTAGACACTGGATTTCCCTTTTTGAACCCACGCACTTTATATGCATCTCCTGGAAAGTCATGTTCCAAGATTTTGTACTTGTTGCTCATTGCCTTTCTAGTCCTGTCACATTTTCTTCCTAAGAGTGACCTCTTGATTCTCCAAATTTTTGTTGGCTCTACCTCCTGTGGGGTACTCCTCCACATGAAGTTTTGAATTTTTTATCAATTCCCAAGTAATTCTCTCTTTTGTTTTTAGTCTCCAGTTCATCATCTCTTTGCCCTAGCTGTCAATATCTTCAGAAAGGTTTACATCCAGTTTCTCACATTAGGTTTTCTCCTTCCATCAGTTTTTTTATGAAAATGTTTGTTCACCCCTGTCACTCCAGTTCAGATCTTTCTAATTGATTTCCTGGCTGGCACAAATCTGGGTTTCTTTGCTGTTTTGGCTCAATTGTTTCCTTTGTTCTGGATCATTTTTATTTAACTCCATTTTGTGGCTCATGTGGTATATTCCTTTCGACTTTTCCATTTCTTACCATCTTCCACATTTCTTCTCGATTGGTTCCAGATATCCTTGTCAGTCTAGTACATGCTTTGGGTTGCTTCATTGTTTTCAAGGTTTTTCCATTGAATCCATCTCCCACGATTTCCTTCCATTACTCCACTGCTTTGTCTGTGATTTTTTTTCCTTCCTCCCTGACCCATTGGGTTTGGATTGTAATTCAATTGGCCTTTTATTCCTTGTATCCTTCTTCCCATCATTGATTTCTCATGTCTTCACACAGATCATGCAGCTTCCCTTTTCCTGCATATCAAAACTGTCGTCCATTGGAAGTACTTTTCTGTCAAGCACTGAGACTACTCCTTTTAAATTCTTTTCCCATTATTTACTTTGGGTAGCTGTTTCTTCCTTATCAGGGTACTGTCATCCACCTGTTACCATCCTTCACTCTTTTGTGAGACTGTGACTGGGTATGTTACTTTTTAGTATCTCTATACCTCTTATTTTTGAGTGGTGCCTGTCCAGTTATACTTAAATTAGTAATAGCTGCATTGTAAGGCCATGATGACCTAATCTTTATATTTCCATGGCCATGTAATGCATACTGTGGAGATGGGGTATTCCACAAGATTGCTTATAGGTTTATCCTCACAATAGGTTTGCTTCATAAGTTTGCCCTCCTGGACCATACTCACACATGGACTACATGGGTAAATCAGAAGAGGCTACCTACCCACCCCTACCATGCCTTGTATTGAATAAATTAGTATGGTCTGCTTTTCAAAATGTGGTTTTGTAGTCACGCATTGTACTGTCTTGGGTGTTGTCATTCCTCTGGACTCGCCACTGTACTTGCCATCCCATTTTCTTCTAGTGAAGTTTGAGAGTCCTTACCACTTTCTAGTTCCAAGCTACTCAGGTGGTGGACCATGGAGTCATCCTCCAAGATGTGATAATGAAATACAAATAATACATGATTACAAAACTATTCAGTTGAGATTATGGCGGTGGTGTTCTGCTGGTGTAGATGACGAGATATTCTCCACTATGTAACATGAGAGTGAGCCATCAAAATTGCAGTTCACCCCTTCGATTGTGATCCCTCATCCTGCCCCCCAGTGGCTGGGTTTTGGATTTAAAGTTGAACCAATCAACACAAGTCCTCAACATGTATTACAGATGTCTCTTTTTTTTGCATATAGAGGGCAGCACTGAATGATAATAGTTATTTATGTGAGCGGAGGTAAGTATCTATCAGAAATACATTTTCAGTATACGAAAATTATAACTTGTGCATATAGAGGGCAGCACAAATAAAAGAAAACTATTATGTGAGTAGGGGTAAGTATCTATTGGAAATATATTTTCAGTGTAGGAAAATGTTAACTTGTGGAAAAGATCATGATGAGAATTTGTAGATTTAGTTAGGTCAAATTCTGCCAAATTGCATCAAATTTTATTTTGCCTCAAAGCCACAGTTTTTTATGCTGTGTTTACATTAGTAGAGGTCATGATTAAAGAGATTTCTACATTATCTACACATGAAAGTTTTAAAGAATTGAAAAATAATAGCACTGTGTTTCTAAACTCCACTTGTAATAAGACCTATTAGTTCAAACTACCAAGTAGTTTTTATGTAATGCAACATGAAAACTGTTCCATTGCTTGAGGCATGCTCTTCAGAAAAATAAGCCCTATTTGCATATATCGAAAAGCTATAAGGAGTTTGGTAAAATGGAGGAAATCACTGAGTATAGATGATTCAAACCTTTCATTAAGCCTGCTTTAGGTGAAATTTAGTGTTGTTGCCACAAAAGACTCATCTTATTAGACTCTATAATTTCTTATTACTTATTCGCTGTTTGATTTGAAACTTTTTAAGGTAAAGCTATAATACCGCATTAATCTAACATGCTGAAAAAAGTAACCAGATATAAAGAACACTTCAGCCCCTGTAATTAAAACTTTTATGTTACAGAATATATTATTTTAACTTTGAATTTTATTTAGGTAACTTTAGGACTGAACAGTCAACATTGATTAATCTAAGATACTAGATTTAATATTATGGAAGTCTCTTCTTTAATGTTAAAAAATACTGAAAATTTGGTTACACAGTGAACTTTTAGAAAGTTGACATGTGTCATTCATCATAAAAACAAAACATTACAGCAGCTAGCAGGGAGAAGTTAAACAGTGTTGTTACTTGTTAACACAATAATACTGTATTATCTGAACAGAAATTATAGTTTTGACCAGGCAGTTAGGGCACTCAGCTCACAATTAGTGAGTCACGGAATAAAAACCCTTTACAGAATATGCTTGCCCTTTCATATGTGGGAGCATTATAATGTAATGGTCAATCTACTGTTTACTGGTAAAGAATAGCTCAAGAGTTGGTGGTGGGAGCTGCCAGTTAGTTGCTTTTCCTGTAGTTGTAGCTTGAAATTAGGAATGGTGGTAGATACTTTAGTAAATTTGCCACAAACAAATAAACAGACTTACTAGTTTTATTTTTATACTTCTCCTAATGGTTTTCAAACCTTGTAAGATAAAATTATAATTATCAATTTAATTTTACATACTAAGTTGATGTTATTCAAATTTTATGTTATTTGATTTTAAACTTAAGATACTTGAAGAATATTCAAAACAGTAGATTTGTAATTTGACGAGGTATGCATTTGTCTAATAAATAATATGATGCATTATATTTTTTTCCCTTCGTTGGTTGTTATAGTGTGTTTGAGTAACTGCATAACTATAAATACAATACTTAAGGCTCTAACATTGTCATAAACGTGCTTAAGAATATGTAAAACAATACTGAACTGGATGAAACAAAAAGTGCTTAAAAGTATATACAATATTGTTGCAACAAGTGACAGTAGGTGAATAAATCTTTCATTATTTCTAAATTTTTGACAGTTCATAAATTTAACATATGTATAATGGAGATATCTAGTATCCCAAATACCATGCACATATGCTTGGTGTTTGGATATTAGGCAGTCACTGTTGTTGATGAAGTAATGTTTGCATATTAGTTCAGTTAATATGAAATAATATTACATTGGAAAATAACTATTTTGATACAATATGTACAAAAGTAAGTGTTTGGTTAAAAATGCAAATTTTATAAGATGTGTTTAAAAAATGCAATTTTTTAAGGCTAGCATGACTATTGCATTAGGTTTTAACTGATTGAATGGGTGAAGAAAATCCCCAAAAATTAATGTTAAAAATAAATATAAACTAATAGAAAACAACTTGAAACTTATTAATAAATATATTAAATGAAATCTTCTGATTAACAAAAAAAGTTGGCTTGCTTGTAGTTTTGATATGGTGAAAAACTATTTTTAATGTATGTATTTTTTCAAATTCAATCCTAGTAAAACTAATTGTTGATTCAATTGTTTATGATGACTGAGAATTGTGAAAAAACCAATATGCTAAAAGGACTTTTCTATTCCTTGCTTTTTGAGCACTCAGGACATGTTTGTTCTTTTTTTTTTGGCAAATGTTGAAAGACATTGGGTAAAACATTTATAAATGTATAAAGTATAAGCTTTATAGTTTAGTTGTAGAAGAGCATAAGAAGATATAAAAACCAGTAATTAAAATCTACATCAAAGATAAGCATTTTTAAGTGTTTTTTAAAAACTGATTCACAAAAAAAGTTTTTTTTGAATTTCAAAAGCTCTGAATTCATAAAAATATAGCATAGAAATAGAATATTTAATTTTACAGAAGTCACATAAAAGTGTAGAAAGCTCAAGTTTCAAACAATTTCAACCAATAGTTTTTTTGTTGTTGTTTTTTTGCAATGCAATAAAACAATACGAGAAGTGTATTGAGTCAGTGCATCCAGGCATTTAAGAGTTAATGTAGTTGAATGAAACGATTGATGAACTGGAAAAGATAATTCCTTGAGAAACACTAATAATTATCTGAGTTTTTATTTATCACATTTTGAGCTGTAGCATTTTAGGAGCATTAGATTAAAGAAATGACCTCCTTCACAAGAAAACTTAATATTAAATTAATTAATCTAATGACATTGTCAGTTCAGATATCCAGAGCAAAGCGATTCTTACAAAAGGAGTTAAATATGCTTGTAATTATGAATACGAAAATTTTAGTGCATACTTCTTTTATTTTTAAGATTTCAAGAGGATACTTGCAGGAATCCCTCATGGAAATCTCCAGGAATGAATGCAATTCATAAGAAAATTTGTGAGTTGACTGAAAAAGCTTGTCAAAAGATGAAAACTGAGGTTTGTGTTATGAATGTGGTTACACTGTTGAGTGTTTTACATTGTTTTTCAAAGTGAAGTACTTACCAACATAGACATATCTGTCAGTCAGGATCTTGTGTTAGCTTAGTCAAATTTAAGTATATGTGCTCTTGAAAACATTCAAGATGTTGCTAAGTAGGATATGCTGTTTATTTGAGAAAACTAGTAATGGTTAGGAAATCCACTCAACAAAATTTGACTTTAATAAGACAAGTTTGATTCTATTTTCTGTCAAGATACATATTTCAGCCTAATATTTATTATTTTATTATAACTTATTATCACACTTTATTAATAAGAAGATTAGTTTTGTAAACATTAACAAGACTTTATAGAGGTATTAGATATCTCTCCCAACCAGACAAGTCCACTACTCTACTTACAGAGAGTAAATGCTTTAGCCATCTAAACTGCTATGTCTCAAATGCTGCAAGTCTCATTTTTCATAAAAATTCCAATAAAACTGGGGCTCAAGGCATTTAAAGCATGATAACTTACTTGGTTAAGTCAACTATCTTATAAACAAGTACTTGGTTAAGTCAACTATCTTATAAACAAATACTTGGTTAAATCAACTATCTTATAAACAAGTACTTGGTTGTTTATAAGATAGTTGATTTAGGTACTTGGTTAAATCAACTGTCTTATAAACAGGTACTTGGTTAAATCAACTATCTTATAAACAAGTACTTGGTTAAATCAACTATCTTATAAACAAGTACTTGGTTAAATCAACTATCTTATAAACAAGTACTTGGTTAAATCAACTATCTTATAAACAAGTACACGGATGTGAAGCCTAACTGATTTCAGTTTTCACTTTTTCAGCATAATTTTTGCTTTACAGATAGTTTAAAATTTGAATAGACATACTTGATCTATTTAGAGACAATGATCAATTTGAAATATGCTCCAGCATGTGAGTTTCCAAATGATAAAGTAGATACGAGTTTTATACTTTTAAAATAAAACTAGCCATGCCCTCAAAACATTTGTGGTAGTTTTCATGCCCTTTTTTCAATTTTCCTTATTCTATCATTTTCATGCATGCAATTTAAGTTAGCTTTTTCTTGCCACTATTTTGTTTAAGATCGATAAATTCTGGTCAATTTGAAAAAATTGTACATGGTCAGACATACAATCTCACATAGATATAACTATATTTATTAAAACTACATGTAAAGTAAACAATAAAGCAATGGTATTTATAATAGTGTATAGAGTACGAAACAGTAATGAACGCTCAGTGTATGACATAAACGAAGAATAAAACCCATAGTAAAGAAAAAAGTAGCTAAAAGATGTATATAGCAGTCTATGAAACAAACCTTCATTATGGCAAAGTAAATTAAAGGTATAGTTGTAATGAAGGCAAACTTAGCCGTGTATGCAGAAACTTCTGAATGCATGTTCATAAAGTGATAAGCATATGGTTTTGAATAAACTGTATATACATATTTTAGAGTTAACTAATTCAAGAAAGCCCATAGAAATTGTATTTAGTGTAATGTTCATTATTTTAGGAAATTACGCATTGGTTATGTGTTGTTTGTGTGAAATAGTTTGTAAATTAAAAAACTAAAGTTGAAATAGAAGGCAGTCATCTTGTTATGAAAATGACATTGTGCCATCATATACCATACTCATTTCATTAAAAAGTTTGACCAAGTGAAAAACAGGTAAGATGATTCTAAATGGAAAAACCAATATACAATGATATGAGATATGTACCTCTTGTTCGAGAAATTTGCCAGAAAATTTCTAGACAGACAAAAACAAGTTTATTATTTATATAGATGTTCAATGGCTAGTTAATAATTAACTTGTTTCTTTTAAAATGTGTTGCCAGTATCTTTTTTTGATCGGCAATGTTATTTTGTTTTACAGTGTATAGTGAAGATGTATATTATAATTTTTCTTAATATTTTTTGACAGAACCTGGCTGATGTGAAATTTCTAAATGGGCTCACCACATGTGTGGATATTCTATCCTCTCTATCATCAGTGGAAAGTCAGAGAGACAAAAGGTGCTGTTTTATCACTGCTTCATGATGTGAAAAATTATTTGTGATTGTTTTAAGATAAAGTAGGATTATCTGTCATTTCATCACGTAGTATGTTTAGTTACCTCTCATTTTTTCATGATATAATACTATTCATGAATAATCATAGTTTTTATTACTCAAATAGAAATATTTATATCTGTTTGGTGAAAAAAGTATTACTTACCAGTCTTGCTTGACACAATATGAATTACCATATTTTCATGACACTTAAAGAATCACTAACCATGGTAGTGCTCACTATGTTGGGATGGGCCGAGAAAGAATTGGCTGCCACATTCAATCTATTGCTCTATGATGCTTACAAATAACTGCTAAAGCTGAGTTTTATCCTTATTTGAGCAACTAATTGCCATTATCAAGTGTTTCATAGCTTGTAGAACAGTAATATTATTCTGTTCTTTTAGCACACATATTTTTATATGGGGAAATAATAAAAAGGAAACTACTAGCAGTGAGTTCAGTTTATAAGCATATATTATTTCATTTCATTTCTGGTCACAAGATGGCAGCAAATATTGTGTGTATATGAGGACTGTTTGTGACTTATCATTGTACACTATAAATAGATGGATATCTAACTTTCTGGCTGGTGGAACAGTTCAAATTAAATTACATGATATGTTATCCAAAACATTTGATATTACCTCAGGAGTGCCACAAGGATCAGCCCTTTTGCCACTCCTGTACATCATCTTAGTAAATGGAGTGCCACAAGGATCAGCCCTTTTGCCACTCCTGTACATCATCTTAGTAAATGGAGTGCCACAAGGATCAGCCCTTTTGCCACTCCTGTACATCATCTTAGTAAATGGAGTGCCACAAGGATCAGCCCTTTTGCCACTCCTGTACATCATCTTAGTAAATGAAATCCCTTACCCTAACCTAACATATGCATATCACTCAGTAAGTCAATGACATAGTTCTCTGGAACATATCAAGAAAGCCATTAACTGCAACTGCTAAATTTAATCATAGAATGGTGCAACAAATGGTGAGTTATATTAAACCACACAAAAACACCTTTTTCTTCTTTCAAAGAACTATGAAAAAACATGAAAACCTCAAAGAAAATCAAATTAAATTTAGGAGAAGTAGAAATGAAAATGAATAATAATATTACATTTCTTGTTATCCCCTTCGACACATGCCCCTCATGGAGTAAGCATATTCAAAACTTGCATGCCTCAGTTATTAACTACATCAAACTCATTCTGGTAAACATACAGGCTGTTCACCAGACACAACTCTTAAAATACATAAAACATTTATACAAACCCTAATAGAATATGGCTGCCAGATAACATACAACATGTCAGATAATAACCTCAAAAAATTACAATTTCAAATAAACAGAGCAATTAGATTAGCTCCAAGGCTTCCAAAATTTGCCCTTGTAAGTTATCTGCATAAAATTAGCAACTTACCCACTTTAAGAAACAGATTAATCAAGCTTACCTTCAAAGAGAGTTTTCTTTGGGTATTTTGACAGTAAATAAGTTTTAAGTTCTTAGTTTTATAAGGGATTATTAAACAAAATCCTGAATTTCTCCTAGTGTGAGAAATGTTATATATTTTTTCTAGGTATTCCCTCTTTATTTTATTCACCACCCCTCCAATAAGTACGAAATTAAACGTAAATTACTCGCTATAAAATCGTTCTTTGTTCAGACAAACCATAATCTTTATAGCCTTCAATCTTGTTTGGTTACAGAGCCATCAAATAGAAAGTAAGACCCCTCTTGCCACACCCACCTGTTATATCATCTCTTTCAGGATTTGTTAGTAAACTCTCTTTCATTCTTAATACTGTATTATGTATAACCAATAGAAAGCCAAGGTTTTCATTTATCAAATGACGTATTATATTACATTGTGTTCTGAACAGATAATTGTCAATTTCCCTTGTAGTACAAGCTTAGTTCCCACGAGAAAGATAACAATTAGCTTGGATAGAAAGCCAGAAAAATTGTGATTGCTAGAGGAAATGGTCTGCTTTTTG